TGCCCGCCCCGAGCCCGGCCCCGCACCCCGGGGCAGCCCCAGCAGCTCCGGCTGCTACTTTCCGGAGGGCACCGTACATTTTTCTGCAAAGACAAATAATTTGGCAGCCCCCCCGCCCCGTCCCGTCCCAGCCCTGGTTTGCAGCACAGAAGGGGTTTTGCCTCTTTTTCCACCAGGAAAACAGGTATTTCGGTGGTGCCGAGGGGGCCCAGTACAGCCCACCCGCCTCAGGATGGCTGGTGGGATGGGGCCACTTCTGAAACACAGAACCCCGGAGTGGGGGGATGCCCCCATGCGTGGTCGGCAGCTCTGGCAGCAGCGGTGGCCTGCAGGGACCCATCACTGTTCAAAATAAATGCTCGTGTGAGGCTGCCTTCCCTGGCTGATTTATACAGCCTTTTATGGCCCGCCTGTGCAATACGCTGATGCTTTTGTGCAAAAAAATAAAAAGGTAAGATTAATGTAGATGAGACACTCATCTGATGGCAAAGTTACCCATGGGGAAAGTAAAGTCTAACCCAGAGCCGGAGGAGCAGCCTGCTGCCGGCACGGTGTGCTCCCGGCCATCTCGCAGAGCCAGTGCATCCCGGGCACGGCAGGGCACAACACGGGTGCCGAGGGACCCACGCCTTGGGAAGGCTCTGAGCACCCAGCCGTGCCGTGGGGCAGGATCGCACCCCTCGGTGCAGAGGAAAGTGTGCAGCACCCTGCACCTTGCGGTCCCTGGGCTACCATGCCGTGCAGAATGGGTGCTAATTGGCGTGGCTGCTGGAGGGGCACGAGAGTCCAGCCTGGCCTGCAAGCGTGGCTGGGGCGGCCATCAGCATGGCCTGGGCTGCAGAGCCGGTGCGGTGCCTTGCCCTGCCCTTCGGCAATCGCCCCATCCACAGCTTTGCTTCCCTCCCTCCTCCTTTCTGGGGCCATTTTGGCTGGAATTTGATGCTGGAACCCCGCTGCCTTCCAGAGCTGACCACAGCATCCACCCCCATCCTGGGTCATTGCATCCAATGCTCCTTGTTTTGCCTGTGCCTTTGCCTGTGAGTACTTGGTCCCCCCCAGAAAAGCCTTGCCCTAGCCGTGGAACCACAGGAAGGTGTCAATCCAGCGGGAAGCCCAGGACGGTGCCCCGGGCAGCAGCGGGGGGCTGAGCCCCTTTGTCCCCAGTGCCAGCACAGCACTGGGAGCTCCCCCACCACTGCCTTTTGCTGGCATGGCCTGAGCGAGGCAGAAATCCCCCCACACTGGGACATGCACCTTCCCGCTCTTGTTTTTCTTGCAACCCCAGCGAGACCCCGCCGTAGCCCCTCCTGCACAAAGTAACGGGGCAGGTGAGCTGCAGGGGGGTGGCAGAGTTCACTGGGGTGACACCCGGGACCCCCTGTGCCATACTGTCAGTCTGCTCCACCGGCCTCATCCCAGACCCGCTGGGATGCCAGCACAGGGACCACCGACCTTATCACTTAGCCTAAATCAGTAGCTGACGCGGGAGGCAGTGAGGAGCTGGGCTGTGCAATCGGCTGCAGCGATATGGTGAATCTGGAGCCAGAGAGGAGAAATCAGTTGACGTGGTGCCATGACATAAACTCTGTGGCTGAGTCTGCTTCAGACAGCATGGTGGATGGGTTCGGTAATGATCCCCTCTGGGTTAGGTCCAGGGCTGACGCGTGATGGATGGAGAGACAGCGGAGAGCTCTCAGCACCCTGTGAACACGCAGCACGAGGTGAAGATCCCAAAGTCAAGTGTCAATTTTTCTTAACCCTGGCTAATGCGGGCTCCTTGCCTCCTCAGTTAGCGGCAGGATGGAAATGTAAGGCAGCTCACTGAGCTGAGCTCCTCCGGCGGTGTCAGTGTGGGAGCAGGGCTCCCCTTCCCTCTTCATCCCACTGCATCCTTCTGACAACGTATTCTCCAGCTTCAGCTCGCTCTGCAAAGAGTCTCCTCAGCTCTGCTCTGCACTCCCCATCGCGGCTCCATGTCCCTTCCAAGCTTCGGCCAAGGAAACCAAACCCGCTCAGAGTCTTTGCGAGAGACCTATGCTGCGAAACGGAGCCTGGATGTGACCCCGAACCCATGGGCTGATCCTCTGCGGCATGGACCAGGGCGCCCGTTTACCGGCATTGCCGCAATGACAGCCCACATGCCGCAATTAAGGGGGCTGTTTCAATCAGGGGATGATGTAAGATCCTGCTCGCCACGTCCGAGGGAAAATCAGGACAGCTGCAGCCTCCCGGGGCTAGCAGGGAAATAAATATCCCCTCCGCACACGGAGTTACGGTGTTTTAGGGATATCTTTCAGCTACGCTCCCGGATTGACTCCATTCATGTGCATACATCTATGCTTTCACATTGGCAAAGGTGCCAGAAAAAAAATATGTGGCTGTATATGGCAGCGTCACGTGGATGAGGAAAACACACTCATCTCAATCATAAAGAAGAGTTAATTACATGTCCCTGTTCTCCCTACTTTTCAAAGCAATTATAAACAGAATGAATCATTATGCGTCTGCTGATAATCATTTTCACTCCGCATCCCTGCTGAATTGCAGGGTGCTGAAGCACTCTGATGCTTGCAGCATCTCCAGAGAAAATAAAGCAAATTTAGCTCTTTTTGAGCATCGTGGCACCAGGGCACCCAAAGCAGAGGGATTTTGGGGAGAAATCACGCAAAACACCCAAGAAATGGGGATGCCACCCTGGTGGGAAGCACGCAGCCATGCTTTCAAAGGGCGGGAGGGTCTTGTGAGGCGGGTGGGCTTTGACTTCTATTTTCCCTTTAGAGGAAAGCGTCGGTGTTTGGGGACACCGAGACGTATAGAGTGTCCGCTCTGCTGCTGGCAGGCTGCCCGCCAGCACGCACGCTGCCGGCCTTTTGCAGTCGTGCATATGGTTCATTGGGAGGAATTTGGTTGCTCCTCCTGTTTCAGGGCTTGCAACGTGCATGCACACCGCAGCCCCCCAGGCACGTTGCAGGAGATAGTTTTGCTGTCCCGGAGCATGCAAGCATCTTGCAGGCTTTCAGCTGCCTGTTCCTGCCTGCTCATGCCTGCAGTGGTACCCGCCCGCCCGCGCTTGCTCCCACCCTAGGGTTGTTTTCCATCACTGGTGGGCAGGAAGGCAGGCTGATGCTCAGCAGACGGTGGGGAAACGCTCTCCAAGGGGGGATGGAGGCAGCATCAAGGTCGCTGCTGACATGATGAATACTGAGCTGCTCACGTCTCAGCCACAGCGATGAAAAATTAATGAATTTCTTCCCCTTCCATCTGCAGAAGCTCTGTCAGCTGCCATTTCCCCCCGTTTCTCCGGTTCATCGGATGTTTCCTTTGGTCCAAGGAGCAAATGATTAAAAGATGTGAAAGTTGTGGAGGGGGGATTGCTGCTGCTCATGGGGTTTCGGCCCTGGAGTGGGCACGGAGCTGAAGCAGTGGGGTACAGGCAGCTTTGGCTCCTTGGCCAAACCAAGCCTCAGCTGGGATGAGAAATGGTGCCCAGGGAGGCACTGCTCCCTCCAAGCCCGGGGTCCGCTTTGTTTTGGGGTTGTTTTTCATGTTAAAGCAACAGGAGGCTCCAAATCAGGAGCTGGGGAGGCAGGGGGTGAGGTTGGATAACGATATACCTCCTGATTAATGCCCTCCCTTGGCTGGCTTCATTATTATGATTACACTCTGGCTGTAGCATAGCAACAGCTAATTGTTGGTTGGATGCAAAGTGCATAATTCCCTGTATTAAAATTTTATTAAGATATAATTGCATTCATCTTGCAGCAGCGGATGCTTCAAAGATGCCGAGAAGAGGCAGCAGCGCTCGTTGGGGCTCTGCTGTGTTCACCCCGGGCTGCTGCCCCAGCTGATGGATGGGGTTTCGAGTGATGGCTGAGCCTCGGGACACCGGGTCTGGGTGTCGGGATGTCAGGGGTCCCCAGTGCCGGACGGGGGCTGGGCGCTGGGTTTCAGGTTGGAGAGGGCTGGCTGAGGGCACCTGGGCTGCGGCGCCTCTTGCACAGAATATTGCATGCCGAATATTCCCTGACAAACCCTCAAAAGATAAATTTTCATCCATTGACAAATGAAAATGAGGATTTGAGAGGCGATGAAGCGCTGCCGTGTATCAGTGCTGCTGGAGGGCTGCGAGGTCTGGGTGTCGGGATGTCAGGGGGCCCCAGTGCCGGACGGGGGCTGGGCGCTGGGTTTCAGGTTGGAGAGGGCTGGCTGAGGGCACCTGGGCTGCGGCGCCTCTTGCACAGAATATTGCATGCCGAATATTCCCTGACAAACCCTCAAAAGATAAATTTTCACCCATTGACAAACGAAAATGAGGATTTGAGAGGCGATGAAGCGCTGCCGTGTAT